GAATCAGTAGATAGCAAAAGGATATCGCAGTTGATTGGCTGGATGGGCCCATGCACCGGACACAGTACTGGAACTCATGGCAATTAACTGCGCAAGGTCGTGTCAACTTCCAAATTGTACATGCTTAGCTGATTAACTTGAAGTCTTCGAAACTCTTCAGGCTGAAGGACTATGAAAACCAGCCTCCGGACGACGAGGAATCTCAACCAATGGAAGAAAATGATGAAACCGAGGAACTTGTATTTGACTAAATGTACTGTTCGTAATATTATAATCATGCTTATGACGACGACGACGACACTAATGATGTTTATATATGTGATCATTTTCTACAAAATATAGGGGTTGTTGATGGGAATATGGTCCAAGAACAAAGTATTGTATACATGTAACAGAATATACTTTTCTTCACAAATCCATGTTTCGCTGTAAAAACGTATCATGAAGCCCCTCTATTGTTTTATTGTTTTAGTAAGTCAATAAATATATTGTCATTGCTTTATAATTTGTATAATATTGCTATTCCAACATTTTGGTCACTACATATGCCCATATATTATATTACCATATATCGCTTTTGAGTATTTTACATTCACGTTTAGTCCGATAGGTAGTCTTTTCAACAGAGATTATTAACATGAAAGCTACTATATAAAGATTGCTACCAGGCATAAATGTGTTCCTGAATATCAAGCCTTTCAAATAATACCATTGAACCTTGGCCACCCTATTGGTACCGATCGAGCAAATTTCAGCCTCTACCTTTTGGACTAAAGTAACCTTTGGGATAAAAATGAACAGAAATAAACACGAAGAAGGGCATGTGATAAAGTTTTTTCTTAGAGGTGTTATAAATGTCTGTTTGGTTTTATAACTTTTTACGTTTTATGCTGCATAGCTTAGGCATATTTTCGAGGAGATAAATTCTGAATTATCAGTATATTGTTTAATAATAGGTAACATCTGTTTAAAGAGAAAACTGGACATAGTAAATGATGTATGCATATTAAGGCTGTTTTTCTCTTTATGTAATAAAACGAGTAATTTTAATGTAATAAATAATCAATTTTATGCTCATATCACAGTTTAGAGCGCTATAGACATAAAAAACAATGTTGAATATAATACTTACATATATTATTGACCACTCGATATCCGTGAAGGATAAAGTAAACAACAATTATTCATTATTACAAAATAAAAGATATATTGCCACATGTTTTGGCAACATTTATTCGGATCTATAGCATGATGATGGACTGAACAAATGTGGCAAAAACATGTAGCAAATTATTTGTTTTTGCAATGATAAGTAATTGTGGTTTAAATGGTGTGTCACCTTTGTTAACTAAGTACCACAAGATAACTGAGTAAACCATTTAAATCCGCGATACTTATAAGACTGCAACAAAACCTGTGTTGCCTGATTACGCACACGTTTTATAGTTCTATAGTATTTGAAGTTTGAGATAGTTTGAACAAGATATAATGCAAAATTAAAATAAATAGTATTCCATTACACCAATTATGTCATTTACAAGTATCAAGCATTATGAAATCGTAAAAAATAATACATAACTTTTTCAGTCAAATGTGCATTGTTTATCTTATGCATTGTTCTTTGTTGTGGTTATTTGACTTTTTAGGCAAAGTATCTGAAGTATTTAATTTCAGCATTAATTAAATTTTATTGGATAAGAATCAAATTCAGATAATACTAATATAATTTTTACCTGCTATCAGTTGGAGCTAGTAAGAAATGACTAAACTGCATTAAAATTTTACCGTTTCTTTGCAGCCTTAACTAAATCTACCGGATCACAGGACTGGGCTTCAAGTAGTCAGTGCAATTAAATCATAGTGGAACAAATTTGTTAGGACTGATATTTATTGATTCCGAGCATGTAGTCACTGTGCATTTAAGAATGTCCCAGTGTAGTAAGAAAATTAGTTTGTGGCCTGATGGTAACGGGTATCACTGCACCACTGCTGCTATGTAAGTTTAGACCTAAAAAGTCTAACGATATGTGTTATACATTATTGAATTTAAACCACACTACTGATTTTTTTATGATGGGGATAAACTTAGTCCCTAACCATAGAATTGTGTATTAAATAAACAACATAAAATTCATTTTTAACCTAATTTACTAAATTTAGAATTTAAAACAGAATTCTGGAGTTAGACGTTCATTTATTTACAAATATAACTTCAATGGGCAGTAAGATGTTGCCATCGTTTTCTTTGCGCAAAGATACACAATGAGCTGTATGTTAGGGAATTTATAAAACAAAAATTTTCTCTAGATTAGTTCCTGTTGTTCTTCCTCTGAGAGTACTTTTTATTCAGCCTACATTGTAAGTTGTGAGAAGTTAAATGGTTATACCAGACTAGCTGCGTATAATTAACAAAATTCATATTCTATAAGTACTGTATTTTTATATTAAGTAACATCATGGATATAAAGCTTGTTTGTGAGGAAGATTACGAAGAACAACTTGTTTACGACAGGATCATTAAACCAACTGCTAATTGACATTAGAAAAAGTAAATGTTCAAATCACACGCATTTATTTAATACCTATAACAAAATATGTAATGTTTCACGCTACTAACCGTTATTAAACCTAGCTACAACGTTAAAATATTCAATACAATATATATGAATTCCTGTTGAACTGTATTCAAGTATGAGGGAAATTCTAGCCACCACTGCATGCAATATATATATATATAATTTACTCAAATCAGTTTACTAGTTTTTAAATATACTTTTACAAAACCTATAAAAATTGTAACCTGGATTAACTAAATTGTTTGAAGTTCATATTTAACTTAGATGTTAAAAAAACTATTCTCCTGTTAATTTACTTTTCGCGTTAGAGTTACCTATACTGTTAAGCCTAATAGCATTATCGGTTTTGCGAGAAGAACTGGAACAAGTTTAGAAAATCAAGAACATTAATTTACATGTATACAGTTTATAACGTCAAGTCATTTAAGAAGACAGTAGTCGAAAATCTTAAGAGAATGTTTCAAGAATGCATAAAATAAGCTAATTTATTTAGTAAAAGTTTTGAAACTTCTAGTCATAAGTGTGATAACGATATATCTGTTGAGTAAAACGTCTAATTACCAAATTCATTACTTCTGTCTTTGAATATTTGATGTGCCAACTAAGTTCTATAATGGTATTACCAATGTCCTATAAAAATCTAATTCACTTGAGCATATTTAAGGCTTTAGTCTGTGTGTAACAATAATATTTTTGCCATTAATTTGAATTCTACTTTGACTGTAAATATATCTCTGATATAAATTCGATTTTTAATAGGAGTGGTATTGTAAACATAGGCTGATAAATATCGATCCGATAAGCTCACAGGTAGTTCACTCTCAAGATTTTAGATCTGGGTGATTTTTATACGTTAAAAGTTGGGTCTGGATTTGCTTTAGACGTTTTTCAATTCTAGCTTCCAATGGGTTAAAAAGTTAAGTTAGACCCATATTTTCTCTTTGGTGATAAATTAAGTTTGTTTAAATCGCAAAAAATTGGTAATGTTACGTACAGTTCGCGCTTGTATGTGTTGACTACCAACACAAATCCTTCTTTCTAAGCAATTCTGAGATAGTCTGTAAGTACGATTTTTAATCGCAGTTCATTACGAAATAGCCGAGGAAAGGCTGGTTTTCCTTCTGGTTTAAGATTCTTATTTCTGGTCAGTCAATATATATATTATTCTGTTGAACACCATTCTAAGATGTGACTTTCACGCATGACTAAGACGGATATCATCCTTTTGATGAACCGCTATATTCTTCTGGGAGGGCTCTGCGTCAGGATCTGTCGATGTGCCAATGGTAACACTTTTTACATTTTTGGTAGGCGCAACATTAGGGGATGCTGGTTTCTTGAGCAGCACCGTCGTCTCGCTGCTGGAATCGTCACTGTAAAAAGATGGAGTAGATAGGAGGGAAACTGTCACCACGAAAAGTTCGACAGAGGATTTACAAAATATATCAGAATAGAAGGGGCGAATAGAGAAACCTTTAGATTTATGTAAGTGAAGTTCTAACATTAATTTGTTATAAGTGTTACAAGCAAAGAAAACTTATATGTAAAATTAATAAAAAGTAGTAAATGTCGTACATCAGTATATAGATAAACTTTAAGTTAGACTCAAGTTATATTTCTGTGAACGCTGTTTATTTGCATATTGTTATTTATATGGATTCATAAATAGTTTAAAATTAGTTTTTAAAGACACCCTTAAGAGTAACTAGGGATAAACCATGAGATAAAACACATTTCTAAATGTAATAAACAATTCGAAAAATCCTTTACCTGCCGTCATCCTCGGTTAGCGCTTCCTGGCGTCGGAAAACAGGATGAGGTGTAAGGTGTACTTTGTTAAGAACTTGCAGCTGTGGTTTTGTCGTTTTCGTAGATAGGTGATCGTCGTCGCTGTCACTAGGAATAGAACTTTCAACTGAATCTAGTGAGGTAAGTCCTCCTCTCGTTCTGTTCTGTTCAGGTTGCGACCTAGGGGAAGCTGCGTATTTAAATATATATTGTTGGAGTGGACAAATAATCGAAAAGGCGGGTAACGACACAGAACAGAAGCTATACTGGCGTTCTCTAATGCCATTTCAAGAAACCGGTGGAATGTACTTCCCGTGTTACTTTATGCTTTCTCAGGCACGCGCACAAAACATTTCGTCGTATGTTACACGGTTTGCCCTACGGACGGCTATAAGTATTCACAATAACTTTATATATATACATATTTAGAGGGAGAGAGAAACAAAGTTATCATGGAATAAGTGTTGCATCATGTAAGATCTCTAAGGAGCCACCCGAACCTCATTCGCAATAAGCTCCTTCAGATGAGGAATGGTTGCTGGATTATGGCCATAGACCATTTTCAGAAAGACCATAGCAAGTAGTCGTATATATGTAAAATAACTGGTTGCTGGTTACTTTTTAAGACATTTCTTGACAGCAACAGCTATGTGTAAAACCATATCTTGTGTTGACCCCGCTGAGATATGCTCGGGGTGCTGTTTTAGTATTTCGGGTTACTTTGACACTATAATTCCAACAACGCAATCCGTTGTTACAAAATTAATATCACTAACAGCGACAGAATAAGGGCAGAAGTTAGTTTACCATGGCAGGTATTTCGATTTAAAACTTTTAACCTTAAGTGAAGTTAGATTTAAATAATTAATTTCGACCCAGGGCCAAAAGCAATCTGGGTTGTTCAGAAATAGTTGTCTCTTCACCCCACTCATGCACTAGATAGATCGCGAGTGGCATAATTGACAATGATAATAATGATGCTAATAATAATAAAAATTTCACGAAGAATTTAAATCTGGTTAGGAGGATCGGGATAGCTGAGATCAAGGTAATGGTACGGTTATTTGTATTGATTGGTTTCGGAGGTTACAACAACTTCACTTTTAAAAAAAACACTGTTTTGGGTGTGGATCAAAAAGTCTTAATACCCAGAATTTTGTTGTGGGAGGAAAGGGGGAGTACCCCAGGAAAATCCCACTTTCACTACCCGGACGCCGAATATTCTATCCGGATAGTGCCTGAGCTTGGGGACTAAAACACATATAGGTTATATCACTTTATACATGTCAACGTATTGCACAGTTTTTATTAAATATGGGTGCACCAAGTTTCTGGGGTAACTGATAATTTTGGATTACGTTTAACAAATTTCTTGAAAAAGTTTCATGCTAATTTTAGTATTCATTCTTTAATGGGTGGAATCAAATTAACTGAGTTTAGGTATACTAATGGTGTGTATATGGGTAATCTGTAAGCTGTTCTTAATGCAAGATTTAGTAGTGTTTGTATTTTGTCATATAATGGGTTGGACATGTTACAAAGAATCATACAAGCGTATTCAATGAGGAGTCTGATTTAAGATTTATAGATGTGTACTATGTTTTCGGGTTGCATCGTTTTTGGTAGCCTCCAATCTGTTTTAGATAGCATAATCTTTGGTTCATATTTTTACATATATTACTAATATTGTTAGTCCACGAAAGTTTGGAGTTGAATGTTATTCATAGGAATTTAATAGTTTTAGAAAAGAGAATGTTAGTGTTACAAAGTTTTAATTTAACCCGGGCTATTTTTTCTTTCTACGTTTAAACCATCTGTAAAAGATGACGACCTGCGTTTTTTGGGGGTTTAAGACTATTCTCCATTTGTTGCACCATGCTGCTATAGCGTCTAAAGTAGTTTGAACTTTCCGACCAGCAGTTAGCGGGTTACACGACGTGCTCCATACAGCTACGTCATCAGCGTGTGTAACTTAGGGAACTGTATGTCATTAACAAACAAAATATATAGGAGTGGGCTGTTTGTCTGTTTCGTCTTGATGCATTCTGTATGTTAGACAGGAAGTTTTCTGATTCTAAATAATAAAGTAGTCTTTTGGCAATAATTTTTTCCAATAGTTTTCCGATGTTATTTTAGAGACTAATGGGTCTGTAGTTTGATGAGTCGTGAATATCTTTTGATGATTTTTGCTATGACTCGGATTATTTCAGTTTTCCAGCAAGAAGGATAATATCCTGAATTAACAGATAAGTTAAACAGTGTTGTAAGGTAGTTTAGGAAATTATCAGGAAGATTTTTAATTATTAAGTTACTTATTCCATCTTCACCTGGGGCATTCTTATTGTTCAGTTGTTTAATGTTGATTTTTAGTTCGGCTAGTGTTATAGGACGAGGTGAAAAATAGTGTTGATCGGTTGGTTCGAGTATCGAGGTTTTATAAGTGTTCATTATCAAAATATGAGAGTTGGGAAGGGCAAAATGTTCCATCCTGATCCTTTTATACGAAAAACGCCCCTAGCGCCATTTATAGAAATCAGTGAACTGCACAAAAACGTCATAGGTTGTGCATGAATGTAAAGTATTTCGCCCGTATGCTACACAGTTCTTGCCACATACTGTTCCAATAGCCCACAATGACTTCATAACAGTCTTGTACATATGTACAAACAAGTTCAAACTTTATAGATAGTTAAAAAAAAAAGGAAGAAATTTATCTATATATATGATCATAACTACAAGCGCGTCAAACAAAATTGACAAAAGCCAAGTGTAATCTTGAAAGACACGTTGTAAGGTTCATGATGTTTTAGTAATAATTCTATATTACCATTAGTGTGTAATGATATCTGTTGACGAGTTAGAACCACTGTGGATTTTAGCAGTACAGCACTTATCAGTTTTCATCGTTCTAATAATTTTTAAAATTACAATATATATATATGTTATACGTTGTTTCATACATTTTAGTTTAACCTCCTAATTGTTTACATTTAATAGTGAGAGGTCGCTTTTTTAGTTCCAAAGTAAATAACTAAGTTGGAAGAATAAACTGCAAGATTTAGAGCCGAATTTTTTAAAACATGTTACTGAATCGTTCCATTTTCCATTATTTGATATACATTGCTTTTAGTTTTACTTTATAAGATTATTTAGATAACTTATTCAGTATAATGATAAACTGGTATCCATAGTTACTATGTAATTAACACTGTATTATAACTCAATCAAGTTTCGTTTTATAATTTTGTTTTCTCTGACAAATATTGACTAACGTAGGAGCGTCTATATAAACCGTCACTTCTACAACTAATCACATCTTACAGAAGTTTTTACAATATTTAATGCTACTCAGAAACTGCCTGCAACGTATATATATGCGTGAGCAGCAGCTGTTTTGTATTTTGTGTTGAAAATTAGAGAATTATTAAATATTTTGTAATTTTTGTTTTTGCTTTACTGATAACTATGCCATTTATGAACATTCTAAACAGCACAAACACCCAGAGTATATACACACACGACTATATACACACCCAGAGTATATACACACTCAGAGTATGTATACACACCCAGAGTATGTATACACACACGAGTATATACACACCCAGAGTATGTTTTCACACACGAGTATATATACACACACGACTATATACACATCCAGAATATGTTTTCACACACGAGTATATACACACACGACTATATACACACCCAGAGTATGTTTTCACACACGAGTATATACACACCCAGAGTATATACACACACGACTATATACACACCCAGAGTGTTATACACACACACGAGTATATACACACCCAGAGTGTTAGTGTGTATATACTCGTGTGTGTACCAGAGTATGTATACACACCCAGAGTATTATACACACACGAGTATATACACACCCAGAGTATTATACACACCCAGAGTATGTATACACACACGAGTATATACACACCCAGAGTATGTACACACACGAATATTTCATACTAGCAAGTTTGCTGGAAAAATATACGTTATTATCTAGATGATTTGTAAGCAAAACTTTTTAAGGTTCCAGTAAGAGCATTACCAGCTGTGATACATTTAGTTTTGTTACACTAAAACAGGCGTTTTATTAAAACAACTAGTCATTAATATTCATAAATTCAATTTCCTAGCACTTGCGATACCTCAAGATTTATAGGAAATTGTTATTTTACAGAAAAATTAGTTTGTGTTACATTATTCTGCTTGATGTTTTGAATAGTTTGATTCATCTGAAAACAAGAACTTACAAGACTTTTTAAAACGTAAAACAGCTCACAATATCTAAGGTAAAACAAGTTACCTGTGAATAAGTTAGGTGATATATATTTATCCATTAATATATATATATATATTATGAATTTAATTTTTCTGTTGTTTTTGGTTTAACAATTAGTTAAGAAGTTTTATTCGACGTTTCGCTCAAGGCCTAAATTGTACATTTTTTGTTTCTATATTTGCATGCATAACTTTAAAACACACACACACACACACACACACACATATATATATATATATATATATATA